TTTTTTTTTTTTAGATTTTATTTATTTATTGTGTACATAGTGTTCTACTTGCATGTTTGCCTGCATGCCAGAAGAGGGCACCAGATCTCATTACAGATGGTTGTGAGCCACCATGTGGTTGCTGGGAATTGAACTCAGGACCTCTAGAAGAACAGTCAGTGTTCTTAACCTCTGAGCCATCTCTCCAGCCCCCTTATGTGTCAATTTTAAAATGCACTTTCTGAAATAGTGAATTTACAAATTAAATCCTTATTTATACCATGCATTTCACTGAACTTGAAGTGATTTCATTAATCCCCACTATAAGTGTATCATATAAGAATTAATACAAAAATGAACTCAGAGAAGGTGAGTAAACTGCCAAGGTCATCCAACTACCTGAAGTCCCTGGAACCTACAAAGAAAAAAATTGGCTACAAAGTTGTTCCCCTAATTTCATGAATACCACAGCATGTATCCCTTCATAATCGCACGAAATAATAAATTAATTTAAATAAATTAAAATAGGGGTCAGTGGGATAGTTCAGTGGTTAAAAGCATTAAACATGCTTCCAAAGAATCAGAGTTTGACTCCAGATACAGGGGATCTGTGGCTCTCTTCTGGCCTCTAAGGGTACCTACAGCAACATACTGACAGATGCATACATGCATAAATAAAAAGGTTTTTTTTAGATAAAAATAATGCTACAGAATAAAATAAAGGGTACAACTTGTTTGGCATAACATTTTTCATATAATATTTTTAAAATACAGCAAAATTGAATGTTGGTTTGCAGGGGCACTATAATTAAAAAATGTAAAACTATTTCTTTAAACGGTGTTTTACAATGTAATCCAGATATGCCAAATACTTGAAATCCTTCTATCTTAGTCAGAGGATGTCTGGAACTGTATGCATGTACACCACACACACACACACACACACACACACACACACACACACACACACACAAAACCCTAATTTAAAAAAAGAATTGCCAGGTAGTAATAGTTAATCCTTTAATCCCAGCACTTGGAAGGCGGAGGCAAATGGATCTCTGCATCTGAGGCCAGCCTGGTCTACAGAGTGAGTTCCAGGATAGTCAGGGCAACATAGAAAAATCCTGCCTCGAAAAGGAAAACAAAAATTAGGTGCAGGGCATAGAAGCACAGACCTACAGTAAATGCATTCAGGAGGCTTGAGGCAAAAGGGATAAAGAATTCAAGGCCAGTCTAAGCTACTTAGCAAGTTCCAGGCAAGCCTGAACTATGAAGCAAGAGCCTGTCTCCAAACAGAACAAAGCAAAAACAAAAAAGTTAAAAAATAAAATAAAAAAGTGAGTTAATCTCTGAGGCTGATTTAGCCCCGGTTAAAGAAATGGGCTACTGGAACTAGAAAGATGGCTGAAGGGTTAAGAGCACTTGCTACTTTTTGCAGAGGAACTGGATTATCTCCCTAGCATAGACACGGTGGCTAACAACCATATGTAACTCCAGTTCTGACACCTTCTCCTGACTGCCCAGGGCACTATAAACATTTGGTGCATAGTCACATACGCAGGCAAAACACACATACACATAAAATAAAATCTTTCTTAAAGGCTATTATATTTTAATAATAATAATAATTTTAAAAGTTTATTATAATGATATAAATATAATACTAATTTATGATTTTTTAAAGAAAACTGAAATGAAAAAGGAAAGCTATTACACAGATCTCTTCCTTTTCTTCATGGCAACTGTGATACCATTACCAACTAAACTGGGGATGATGAAGATAGGCCAGAACTGACAGGATATTATCTAAAGAAAAGCAAAAAGAAAACAAGGAGCACTCGGGAGGCAGAGGCAGGCGGATCTCTGTGAGTTCGAGACCAGCCTGGTCTACAGAGCTAGTTCCAGGACAGGCTCCAAAACCACAGAGAAACCCTGTCTCGAAAAACAAAAAAAAACAAAAACAAAAACAAAAACAAAAAAAAAAAGAAAACAAGGGGTCCTAGGAGCAGGCGGGGAAAGGAAAAAGAGAAAAGGGAATGCAAAGAAAGAAGCATGTCAGAGTCACATCTCTGCTCATGGACTACACGAGGACCACAGTGGGAACTTACACTGTAAGTGGTTGCTTCCACTTGGGACTGTTTGTATTGTTGCATTTTTCTGTCTTCTTTGACTGCCCATCTACTGTGACTTCTACATAAGGGCTTGGTCCAAACCAATTCTTCTTATTTTCCTTAAGTTTGGCTGAGATGACTGTAAAAAAAAAAACAAGAAAATAGCGTTTGAAATATTAGCTTACTCCTTGATCAATGCCATTTCATTAAAGATTAAGCCAGTTATTTGTATTTAGAAGTAGCTGTTCCCTAAAATGTTTATTAATAATTCTTATTTATGATATTTATATTTATTATATTTTTCCTATCTTAGTAAATATATACATACATACAGGACTTCTACACATCAGATACTCAAATAACTTCCAAGAGACCCGGCTCCCATAACCAGTGCAAGGACTACCATGTCCACCATGTCTGGCTCCTCAGTCAGCATAGCATGCAGTCAAACATCTAGGAACTGAGCAAGTACAGGCCCAGGGGATGGCCCTAATCTCTGACTTCCACAGATCAAGTAGTTTTCTAGCATGACTTTGACCAGCGTGCTGGGATTAAAGACATGTCCCACTACAGTCTGGTTTACCCCTGGGTTTTGATGAATTGAATGTAGCAATTAAGATATGTGTTAGAGGCCACACATATGTTTACATACATATATATGCATAATTTTTAAAAGGATATGGTTTGTGGCCTAACACATTCACAATCCAGAAGATGATATAAGCCAGGAATAGCAGAAACTAAGTAATACATCAGGATGTGAACTGTTCTGTATTCAACAAGTATTAAAGGGAAAGAGACTGAGGGTCATTATGTAATAGGTGCCTGCCATACCTAAAGAATCTAGCAACTAAAACATTTGTTAAGAAAAAAAAAAGAATCTAGCAACTCATCTTAACCATACGGAGCTACAATGTAGAAAGTTTTAGCTAAGACTAAGAACTTCTACACCTCAATGAAAAGAAGCAGTGCAGGTCTCTGAGCAGAAACATAACCTAAGAGGTGTCAAGTTAAAATATTAATCTTAAAAATGATGTACAGTATGGTTGAAGGGTTAAACAAAGATAAAAGTGTTACTTAACAATAGAAACAAAAAAAATTTGAATGGCCATTTTACCAAAACAGTTAAAAAATAGCCAAAAAGTACACAAAAACATGCTGAACATCTTAGCTATTGGGGAAACAAAACCACAGCTAGCAGGATGGATATAATCAAAATGACAAATAACAAGCATTGGCAAGAGATGGAGAAATTAGAAACCTCTTAAACTGCTGATGAAATTACAGTGGCTTTGAAAAATAATTTGGAATCCTCAAAGTGCTAAACATGAATCGATACTATATGACCAAGCAATTCAACTCCTACATACATACCCAAAGAAACAGAAAGCACACATTTTAACAAAAACTGTACAAACATTCATAACATTATCCATAGAGTATTATCCATAATAAATAAAAAGTAGAAGTCTATCGAGACAGTTCAGAGAATACAGGTGATTGCTAAGGACTTTAGCTTGATCCAAAGAACCCCAAGATAGAAGGAGAGAACCACTGCTCACTGGCTTCCATATGCATGCACACACAAATGAACACACACAAACACACACCAAATAAATCTAGAAAATAAAAGCAGAAACAATCCAAATATCCACCAACTAAGAAATATATAAATAAAATATTGTATACTAACATGATGGAATATTATTTGGCAATAAAAAGAAATGAAGTACTGATACATGCTACAATGTGAATGAACCTTGAAAACATACTAAGTGAAAGAAGATACAAAAGGTCACAAATTGTGTAAGAGAGCTCCAAATCCATTTTAAAAAGTAGGTAAGTGAGTGCCTAGATTTGGGGTTACTAGTCAGAGTAAATGGTTTGTGATACTAATGGATATAAAGATCCTTTCTAGAGAGTCAAAAGTCATTCAAAAATTGTTAAAGCAAGCTTGGCGGCACATCTGCAATCCCAGCACTTAGGAGGGAAGCAGGAGGTCCCCTGTACAAGGTCGTTGATGTGGGATTCCCCTCTGTATGCTGTGAATACCATTGGTGAATAAAGAAGCTGCCTTGGCCTGTTGATAGGACAGAATTTAAATAGGCAGGGAAAACTAAATTGAACTCTGGGAGAAGGAAGGTGGAGTTAGAGAGAAACCATGTAGCCCTGTTGGAGACAGATGCCAGAACTTTACCCAGTAAGCCACTGCCACATGGTGATACACAGATTAATGCAGATGGGTTAAATTAATATGTAAGAGTTAGCCAATAAGAAGCTAGAGCTAATGGGCCAAGCAGTGATTTAATTAATATAGTTTCTAGCCGGACAGTGGTGGCGCACGCCTTTAATCCCAGCACTCAGGAGGCAGAGGCAGGTGGATCTCTGTGAGTTCGAGGCCAGCCTGGTCACAAGAGCTAGTTCCAGGACAGGAACCAAAAGCTATGGAGAAACCCTGTCTCGAAAAATCAAAAAAAAAAAAAATTAATATAGTTTCTGTGTGATTATTTTGGGGCTGAGCAGCCGTAAAACGAACAAGCGGCCTTCTTACATACAACAGGTCATCCTTGGTCACATATCATATGTGGCACCAGATTGAGCTAGGAGACCTTGTCTAACAAAACAAAAAACACAAAATAAACAAATAAAAACAGCATGGTACATCAAATGTACCTAACATCTACAGACTATTCCACCAAACACCAAAGAACATAAAATCTCAGGAGCCCATGGATGCTTCTCTAAAATAGACCACAAACCAGGACACAAAACCAATCATAATAAATTCACAGCAACTGAAACGACTCTGTGGATACTATCTAGCCACAATGCAATAAAATCTAAAATAAACATAAATCTCTAGTAATTATGAATCTCTAGTAATTATATAAACTCATGGGGATTAAACAGATCAGCTGCAAGACAGTGCTTTCTTCTATATACGACAGGAAAGTTGTACACATGAAATCTCAACAATATTGTCACCTAAACAAGTCCTGCACAATGACAATATCAGCCGACACCAACATGGTTCAGGGGAAATCTTGTAGGACTCACCCCTAGATGAAGAGCCATAGACAACTAATGACTGCTACAAGAGGGAGAATCAGTCTTCTCCAGGAACAAACACCCTAAGTTACCCAACTCCACGTAGTCAGCCCGAAGAGGTCACACATTTGAGTAGGGAAGAACAAAGGAGTTAGGGGGAGTGTAAGAATTAAGAATATTTTCTCTAAATTTGCTAAATACAAATGACCTAGATATTGTATGTAACTGCAATTCTTACTTAATAACTACTTTTGTTATATATAGTTTTACTATGTTAAAGTTAAAATTCTCCTTTTTAATTAGACAAAAAGGGGAAATGCTGTGGAATAATCCCTTTGTAAACTGTGTAAGATTTGTTGCTGTGATTGGTTTAATAATAAAAATAACTGACTGGCCAGTAGCCAAGCGAGCAGAATAGGCAGAACAACCAAACTAAGGATGCTAGGAAGAAGGAGGGCAGAGTCATAAGAGTTGCCAGGAGAAACAGAGGGAGCAAGACATGCTTGAAAGACAGGTAAAGCTGCGAGCCACAGGGCAACAACCAGATTAACAGAAATGGGCTAATTTTGTTGTCAGATTGATGACTATCTTACATGTTACCACAGAACACCTTTATCCAGCTACTGATGGAAACAGGGGCAGAAACCCACAGCGGAGCACTGGGCTAAGCTCCCAGCCCAGTTGAAGAGTAGGAAGAGTGAGAATATGACAAAGAGGTCAAGACCATGATGGGACACCTACTGAAACAGTCTACCTGAGCAAATGGGAGCTCACCAACTCCAGCTAGACAGGGAAGGAACCAGAATAGGCCAAACTAGACCCTCTGAATGTGGGTGACAGTTGTGTGGCTGGGGAAGACTGTGGGGCCATTGGATTTATGCCTACTGCTTGTACTGGCTTTTTGGAACCTATTCTCTTTGCCTGGATATAGTAGGGAGGGTCTCAGACCTTCCCCAAACCAATGTGCCTTACCCTCTCTGAGGAGTGGATTGGGGTGGGCGGAGAAAGGTGGAGGGAATAGGAGGAGGGGAGGGAGTGGGAAATGGGATTGGTATGTAAAATGAAAAGATTTTTTCTTTTATTTAAAAAAAAATTAAAATAAATAGGTTAATTTAAAATGCAAGAGTTAGCAAGTAACAAGCCTGACCTACAGGCAGAGCATTTATAATAATAATACTCTCTTGTAGTTATTTGGGAAGCAGCTGCCAGGGCTGGAAACCTGTCTACAGGGGAGGAAGGGAAATAATGTAAATGAAGTACTTATACACAAAATTCTCAAATTTTTTTTAAAGATAAATAAATAATAAAATTGATTGTGATAATGGTTCAATTCTGTTTATAAATCAATAAAATTATTAATAACCAACAGTAATTGCCTAGATACCAGTTTAATGGAGGAGAATTAATCTATAAAATGTTTTGAGATAAAAATGATTTTTATATATCTCAACATTCTGTTCATGTATTCATTCATCAAATATTGATTAGGTGCCTAAGATGTAATAGTCCACTAAAGATTTTGTTCTCATAAGATTTAAGAAAACTTTGATTCCTTTTTTTTTTTTTTTTTTTTGGTTTTTTTGAGACAGGGTTTCTCTGTGGCTTTGAAGCCTGTCCTGGAACTAGTTCTGTAGACCAGGCTGGTCTCGAACTCACAGAGATCCGCCTGCCTCTGCCTCCCGAGTGCTGGGATTAAAGGCGTGCGCCACCATCACCTGGCTGATTTCTTTTTTTAAATTTAGACGCATGTATGTGTATGTGAATGTCACATATGAGTGTAGGTATCCTCAAAGGTCAGATGAGGTTATTGGGTCCTCTGGAGTTAGAATTGTGAACCTCCATGTATCATCTTGGTACTAGAAAGTGAACCAGAGTCTACTAGAAGAAGAATAAGTGCTCCTAACCACTGAGCCATCTCTCCAGTCATCAAGATTATTTTTTAATAGAGGAGGCAGAGATATAAGGTATTGTACCTTTTTAAGTCTTACCAGTGATCTGAAGTTGTGATTTCATGGTCAAGCTACCCACTGAATTAAACTGCGATCCACTGTCAGACATACCATCAATATGACAGCAAACCTGAAAACAAGACAAATGAGATACTATTAGCATCAAAATTTTCCATTCAAAAATATGTAAATAGCTAGACCTGGCCTTTCATACTAAATGCTTCATAATAATCAGTGGTCTTCACATTGCTAAACACAATTTTTAACTCTAGTATTTGTTATGTTATCAGTAAAATTTAAACTTCTTCCTCTAGTATAAACAATGCTCTTCCCTTGAGTTCCCAAGACCCATTTTCTAGCTCTATGGTCTTCTGATTATTTCTTCTCCACTGCCTTAAAGATTCCTTTTCTTGGGGCAGAAGAGATGGTTCTATGCCTAAGAACACTTGCTGCTCTTACTGAGGCCCCCAGGTCTGTTCCCAGCACCCACTTGGAGGATCAGAATAATCTGTATTTCCAGTACTAGAAGATCCAATGCCCTCTTTTTGCCTCCTTAGGCACCAGGTACACAGGTGGTACACAGATATATATATATGCAGGTAAAACACTCATACACATAAAACAACATAAATTTTTAAAGTGTCCTTTCCTTCTCTCTGCTCCTAATGCTGGCTTATGCTGGATCAATTACTGGTTCTCTCTATAGTCATTCTCTTGAGGACACTATCAGGTCCTAGAGCTTTAAACTGCATCTATATAAAAACATGATGCAAGCTGGAGAGATGGCTACAGAGGTCCTGAGTTCAATTCCCAGCAACCACATGGTGGCTCACAACCATCGGTTATGAGATCTGATACCCTCTTCTGGCCTGCAGGAATACACGCAGGCAGAACACTGTATACATAATAAATAAATAAATTTTTTAAAAAATGATGCAACCAACTAAATCTCTGGCCATGTCTCAAAAAAGTGGAGGTGGAATGGGGGTAAACAATAGAAGAAAATACCAGACACTGACTTCTGGCCTCCACAAGCACATGCACATTTTCACGTATGTACATACACAAAACCATTAGTAGGGCATAGTAGTACAAGACTATAATCCCAAAATGCAATCGGCAGGCTTGAGTCAGGAGAGAATGTCCTACACAGTAAGACTCTGTCTCAAAAACAATAGAGCAATAGATTGACAGGTAGGTAGGCTGACAGACAGGACATCGTAAAACAGCACTTGGGCTAGGACAGTAGACTGGTAGTAAAGCAACTGTCTATCATGCACAAAGCCTTGGGTTTAAACTCCAGCAATGTGCTCAAGATCCTAGAATGAAGCCCCAGCATTGTGTGGATGTGTGTGGATATGCATGTCCAATACTGTGGAAAATGAGTTAAGTAGTGTACCTGCCCAAGATTCATATCCACTCAGAATCTTAAAATGTGACTTTGTTCTTGTAGGGTCTTTGCAAACACAATCCAATATAGTCACCCTGGATTAGGCTGGGTCCTTATTCTGAGAAGATTCAGACATAGGGCATGCACAGAGTGCAGATAATGTGAGGGCACAGAAGAATGCCATGTAGAAAAGAGTCACAGACGAGAAAGATACATATGCAAGTCAAGGAACACCAAAGATTATTGGTAAGGAGCAAAATTAAGACCAATTAGGGAAAAGATGACAGCTTTTTTTCCCCCCTGAGTGGTTAAAATACTGTTTTAGATTCTGGACTTTTACCTAAACTGTGAAAGATTAAAGATTTATCACTTATAACCTCCCAACTTTGGGGCAATTGAGGGAGGAGATGCTTCTTTCTGGATTTACAAGACAAAGTTTCACTCCATGGTCCCATCTGGTCTCAAATTCAGTCTCCAAAGTGCTGGCATTACAGGAATAAACCACCATGCCCAGCTTATACTATTACAGTAGACCTAGGAAACCAACACACCCATATCCCACATTCCTATTTATACAACATTCTTTTTTTAAGGCAGATTCTTATACTTGTAGTTCAAGCTAGCCTCAAACTCATGGCAATGCTCCCCTCTCAGGCTCCCAAGTGCTGAGATGATAGACAGGAACCAGCTTCATATAGTACTCTGTGTGATGATATCTTGTTTGTACTGTAACAAATAAAGCTTGCCAAAAAAAAAAAAAAAAAAAAAAAAAAACAGTGTGAAACGAGCCACTAGCTAGCTATAGAGGCCAGGCAGTGGTGGCTCACACCCCTTTAATCCCAGTACTTGAGAGTCACCTGCTTTTAATCCCAACATTTGGGAGATGCAGACAAGAAGGGTTACGGCTGGGTGGAAAGAGGAATATAAGGTGGGAAGAGACAGGAGCTCAAGGCATTCAGCCTGAGGATTCGTGGAGATTGGTTCTTGCTCCCTTGGTTCAGGGGATTTTATAGAGGTAAGAACTAGAGGTTGGCTGCTCTGCTTCTCCAATCTTTTAGTTTTCACCCTCTAATATCTGACTCCGGATTTTTATTATTAAGACAAATAAGAAATCACACTACAATTTTGTTTTAAAAATTATTGTAGATTATAATATAATTACTTCATTTCCCTCCTCTTTCTTCCCTCCAATCCCTCCCCATGCTCTCCATATAACCTCTTCCCTTACTTTCAAATTCATGGCCTCTTTAATTATTCGTGTGTGTGTGTATGTATGTGGTGCTACATAAAGAAATATGTAGCCGGGCGGTAGTGGCGCACACCTTTAATCCCAGCACTTGGGAGGCAGAGGCAGGCGCATCTCTGTGAGTTCGAGACCAGCCTGGTTTACAAGAGCTAGTTCCAGGACAGGCTCCAAAAACCACAGAGAAACCCTGTCTCAAAAAACCAAAAAAAAAAAAAAAAGAAAGAAAAAAAGAAATATGTATATATCACTTTAAATGTCAAAATTGAAAAAAACAAAACACCGTGGCTTAAAAGCAGCATAGTCAAGCAGTAGTGGTGCATGCCATTAATCCCACCACTCTGAAGGCAGAAGCAGGAGGGTCACTTTGAGTTTGAGGCCAGCCTGGTATACAGAGTTAGTTCAAGGACAGTCAGCACTACACAAAGAAACCTTGTCTCAAAACAAACAAAAAACCAAAAAGAGTAAAAATTGCTGGGTCAGAAGAATACAAGTGTTTCCTAGGAGGTGAAGGTGGAAACAATTACAAAAGATGGAAAGTAAAGGACTTCTTACATGTGTTTGTCAAAATTCCAAGAACTGTGTGTACTGAAAAGATAAATATAGTATAATCTTAATAGGGTTGATTCCAAACAGGGCGGTGGTGGAGCAAGCCTTTAATCCCAGCACTCGGGAGGCAGAGGCAGGTGGATCTCTGTGAGTTCGAGGCCAGCTTGGTCTACAAGAGCTAGTTCCAGGACAGGCACCAAAAACTACAGAGAAACCCTGTCTTGAAAAAAAAAATCAAAAAAAAAAAAAAATAGGGTTGATTCCAAGAAAGCAAAACTGTATTCCAAATGTGATGAGCAAAAACATGCTACTGCCAGGCATGGTGGCAAACCACTTTAATCCCAGTACTCAGAAGGCAAAGGCAAGTGGATCTCAGTTCAAGCCTGGACAGGCTGGTCCACATAGTGGGTCCAGGCCAACCAAGGACTGGTTGGTCCACAAAGTGAGTTCAGGCCAACAATAAGACACTGTCTAAAACAAACAAAAAGCTGTTAATCTTGTTTATATAATTAAAAAGAAAAATCAAAACTGAGCAGGGGAGATGGTTTCATGGTTCAGATCACTTGCTACTCTTGCAGAAGACCAATCCCCAGTACCACATGGCAGCTTGAAATGTCTGTTACTCTAGTTCCAGGAAATCTGATGCCCTCTTCTGGCCTCCATAGACTCTGCATACACACACACAGTATACTTATATACACGCAGGCAAAACATTCATATACATTAAATAAAAACATAAGTAAAGATTAAAAAGAAAAAGCAAAATTACCTTTAACCCTCCCCTGCATCTAAGGAAGATCTAAGATTCATTTTCTTTTTGCAGAGCCTCCTTTCCACCCACATCTGATTAATTTATGTCTCCAAAATCCTTTTCATTTTATTTACTTATTGGTTTCAAGGCAGGGTTTCTCTGCATAGCCTTGGATGTCCTGGAACTCGCTCTGTAGCCAGGCTGGCCTCAAATTCAAAGAGATCCACCTGCCTCCAACTTCCAAGTGCTGGAATTAAGAGTTTGCATCACCACTATCTAGTTAGAGGAAGCACTCTTGAGCCATTTCTCCATTCCTGACACTGATTTTTTTCTTAATGAAGTATTGTTATTTATAGGTATTTTAGCTGCATGCATGTATACACTTCACATATGCCTGATCTCAAGGAGTCAGAAGAGAGCACCAGAAGATTTTAGGTTGTGTGGGTGCTGAGAATTGAACCTGGAGCCTCTACAAGAATTCTTGACCGGGCTAGAGAGATAGATGGCTCAGAAGTTAAGAGCACTGAATGCTCTTCCAGAGGTCCTGAGTTCAATTCCCAGCAACCACATGGTGGCTCACAGCCATCTATAATGAGATCTGGTGCCCTCTTCTGACATACAAGCATACAAGCATACATGGAAGTGGAAGGAATGTTGTATACATAATGAATAAATAAATAAATCTTAAAAAAAAAAAGAATTCTTGACCATAGAGCCATTTCTCCACCCCCCAAAATACTGAATTTTTAAACCACATTTCAACTCTGTTTCCATCTCATAGCTCTAAAATATGTAAGGTAAACAGATGGAGGCTCTGCATGAATTTCCTATGGGGTAAAATGCCTTTCCATGTATAAGTTTTTTAAGACAGTCTCAGAGTCATGTAGTATTGACTAATCTCAAACTTCAAAGCCTCCAAAAGTGGCATATATGATTTTTTTTAAGCCTTCACAATCAACAGAGAGACATTTGATTCTGGGGGCTGCTAAGCTAAACCAACATATGTGTGTTAAAGGTATCTTGACTTCAAAATTTGGGTCTAAGAATATGTTGCTTTAAAAGAGGTTCTGCTTTTGGTTCCACAAAAGATAAAAACCTGTAAATTCTTTCCAGACTAATGTGGTTTAATAAAACAAGACCCCCCCCAAAAAAGGTCTCCATAAGCCTTAAAAATACTTTACCCAACACACAGCAAAA